ATAAAATCATAGCAATAAATAATCTGCACTCATTGGGTTAGACAAGCTCAATAGTAAGTGAACACAAGAACAGACATATACATCCATTTACAGAACCCAGTGTGTGGTGGAGGCGGTCCTGAAGTCAATCATGGAAAGAAGGGCACATTAGCAAAGATGTCTATGAATATTAAGGGGGAAGAAAGGACAACAAAGAATGAAACTGGCTATGTCACTTATTTTTTGCCCAAAATTCAACTCGAAGGAACCTTAGAGTTTTAAACAGCCTAAATAAGAAAACTGGATATTAATTCTGTGACTTGAAGAAAAATTTATAATGTTTTACAAACAACTAAAAAAGAAATGGGACTATGAACTACTTATTGATAAATTAAGTTTCTACTTACAAAAAATACCACCAAATGTCTGTAAAGATAAAAAGATAAAGACCTGGAGAATTTTTCAGCTGAAAGAATACAATTTGAAATACTGATGAAGATACCCACAGAAACAGCTGACCTGAGCAAGTGGGAGCTCACTGATTCTGGACTGACAGCTGGGGAACCTGCACGAGACTGACTTGGTCCCTCTGAAAGTGGGTGACAGATGTGTGACTTGAGCAGTTTGTGGGACCACTAGCAGTGGAACCAGTATTTATCCCTAGTGCATGAATGGCTCTTTGTAGCCCATTTTCTGTGGAGAGATACATTGCTCAGCCAAAATCAGCAGTACCGGTGGAAGGCCTTTGTCTTGCCTCAAGTGATGTGACAGACCTTGTTGACTCCCTCTCTAAGGAGTGTATGGGGATAGGGTGGAGAGAAAGTGGGGGAGTAACAGGACTGGAGGGGGAGGGAACTGAGATTGGTATGTAAATTAAGATTGTTTTAAAAATAAAAAAGAAAGGAAGGAAGGAAAGAAGGGGAAAAAAGAAAGAAAGGAAAGAAGACAGAAAGAAAAAGAATATTTTATAGATAGTTGCTGCAACTCAGAAACAAGACAAAGCCAAAAGAAAAGTAGATAAAATTGAATAGGATTTTTTTTTAACTAATAAGATAACCAAGTAGTACAGGAAATGTTCAGGTGGAAACTCCACCCTAAGCTCCCTTCCCTGGAGTTGCCTCAGTCCAGACTCCACCTACAAGAAAGCCCACCATCAACGGCTCCACCCCAAAGACATTAAAAGCCCTGCTTTGTGGGTTCCCCTTGTGGTCTCCTCAACTTCCCTTAGGGCCACCTAGGAATGCTTTGCTCAGAATAAACCTGGATTTATTAATTCTGTTTGGTTGGTTTATTACATCAGCAGTGGCAGATTCACAATAACCAGGAATTTAACTTAACATTTGGTGCCAAACCCAAGTAGAGCTGAATTTTCCCGCTACCAGGTGACCATGGAAAACCACTCTCCCTTCCCAGACTTGCTTTTTGAGTTACCCAGTTTCAAGCCATGGCCTCTAAAGAGGTCCAGGACCCCTTCTTCCTTCCAGCCCACCTGTCAAGATGTCGCAGTGCCAGGTGGCTGTTCTGGAGTAGAGACAGTCTCTACCTTTTGTGAGGCTTGTATGGGAGTCCTGCACAGAGGTACCCCAAACCTCCTATTGTTTTGACTCTAGTCTATATAGGAGGATACTCTTAGTCTCCAGTTAATGGTTTGTAAATGCATACTTCGGAGTTCAAGTTCACTCCTCGAACACTCTTCAGAATTTATCCAATCTGGGGCTGAGTTACCCTGACCAGGTTCCTGATCACTGCATCCCTGCGTCCTCTCTTCTTCCTGTCCCTAGCCTCTCTCTGCTCCTGGCTTTTGCCTGTGGACAATCTCCTTGCTTCCCTGCCTGTCTGTATTTCATGCTTCTGTCCAATTGCTCTTCCAGTTCCCGACTTGTTCCCTTTTTGGATGCTATTCTAACTTTGCCAATGCTTCATGCCTAGCACAGGGCTGCTTCCACCCTCCCACAACAGCTGGGAGACCCACAGCTTAAACTGCAACCTGCTGTGTCCTCCACAAGGCTCCTGTCCCTCTTCCACTCCTTGCTTGTCCATGCCTGCTTGTTTTCCTTTCACAGAGCCTTCTCTGCACTCAGGGCACCAGGCTGCTGCCACAACCTGCTAGGAGCTGCCTTAATGCTAGAAAACACCTTTCGTTCTTATGGTTTCTTTCTTATTTTAGAATTTTTAAGTTGGTCGTCTGATATGGTTTCCTGGGAAAAGTTTTGTTCATCTTTTGTGCTGAAGTTTTGCTTCTGTTAAAAGTCTTATCTGTTCCATATATATGGATGAAAATATATATAGAGTGTTTGCTCTAAAAAAAAAAAAAAAAAAAAAAAAAAAAAAAAAAAAAAACAGCCGTTCTCAACCTGTGGGTCATGAACAAAGCATCCACAGGGGCCGCATATCAGGTGTATCCTGCATATCAGATATTTACATTAAGATTCATAGCTATAGAAAAATGACAGTTATGAAATCACAACAAAATGATCTTATGGTTGGGGGGGTCACTACAGCATGAGGAACTCTCTTAAAGGGTTGCAACATTAGGAGGACTGAGAACCACTGCTCTAAAGACGCAAGGGGGCTTCTGTTCCTTGCCTTTTCCCAACTTTTGGTGGCCCTAATATTACTTGCCTGGTGCAATATCTGCCTCCATTTTCATGAGACCTCTTTTTGTATCTCTGCTCTCTCTCTCTCGCTCATGAGCCTACCCATTGGCTTTAAGGCCTGCTCTAATTCAGGATAGAACTGTAACTGCATCTACAAAGATGCCGATTCCAAAGATCACCACTCCACGTTTGGAAACTCAAATTGGGCACATCTATTGGGAAACACCCATCAACACAGTACAAGTCACCTAGCCAAGGTTCTTGTCAACACTTAGTTGTCTGTAAGATTTCTGGACTTGCCACTAGAGTAGGCTGCCTCTACCAAACAGCCTTTTGCGATTATTTGATTTCCTTGGTAGATTTCCTACAGTGCAGATTGACATTAGTGAGCTTTATAGTTAATTATCAAGATGAATTAATAAGCTGATTTTTTGGCTTCTAAAGTATTGCTGCAAGTGTTTATAACGTATCCAGCTTGTTCTCCAGAGTCTAATCATTTCCTGGCAAAAACGGAGAAAATTTAATTTGGAACCTGTAACACTGAGGATTGATTTTTTTAAAAATATAAAGACGCCCCCAAAGACCCCCATTCATGTCCATGTCTTTAGTATGTAAATAGCTATGAACTGGTGAGATATCACAAATTCTTTAGGACATTTCTAACCATGCAAAGCTTACAGGATTTTCATGTCCAACTCTATAATATATAGCAGAAAGATTCCTCCTAGCACCTATGCTGTGTATTTCCAGACCTAGACAGCTACAACAAGTTACAGGAAAGAGTTCTCCGAGCATGAATTATCACCTTAAGATGAAGATTCTGTAGGGAAAAAATGGAAATACAGAAACGGGATTTCCTATGCTTTTGAGTTGTGATTGCAGAGTAATTGCACCCTGACCATTTGAAACTACCCACCCAACATCTTGACTATGAAAAGAATATTCTTAGAGATGTGCTTCTCCAAATGTAATCAGTTTCACAGGGTACCATCCAGGGAACTTGTTTAAAATGCCAGAGGAGGTATTAACATCTCTGAGGAGCAGATGGGGGGTGGGGTGGGGGAAGCGGAAGGAGATGAGGGAGGAGGAACTGGGATTGGTATGTAAAAAATAAAGAAAGAAATAAAGTTAAAAAAATTTCAAGTCCCCGATCTTAATACCAGATTCATCGAATTAGTTATTTTTAAAGATGGGGTCTAAAAATCTGCTCTTTAGAGCAAGTAGCTCATGTAATTCGGATATATATGTGTTTGAGAATCATTGTGTTCTAGTGTAATCAGGCTTCCACAACACTGAAACACAGATCTAACTCCAAATGTACATTTACAGTCTTAGTCGATAACCAATGATAGTATTATATTGCTACATCATGAAGTGTAGGCTTTACATATTTCACATGATTATCATTTCGTGTGGTTTTATTTAAATCAAAGTAAAACAGTTATGGCAAGATTTCTTCATACCTAAAACGATATATGCAATAACTTTTGAAGAAACTACAATAACCGGTCCCTAATACCTTGAATTAATCTCTAAGGTCTCTTTCTACTCCAACATTCTGATTCTAGAAACATTTCTGGGGCTTCAAATATGTTTGTAACAAGCACGTTGCTTGTTGCAGGAGAGATGTATTTCCCTTCTGGGTAACAAGCTTCTTAAAAGGAGAATGTTTTCTCATAACATATTCCTTCTTCTGTGCTGTAAAGAGTGAGACAGTATGTGCACTGTGCCAAACATCATGTGCTTGATACAAGGACGTGGCTAATAAATGTTCATGCTGCTTCTGCTACACTGCTACCAGGATATCTCTTGAATTATTGAAAATATAAAATTGGAGAACTGCCTCTGAATGAAAACTAGGGAATCAGCTGCATCGGCAATATTGTGTTTCTCTGACTTTAGGCAAACAAGATAGAGCCCAAATCTCTGAATTTTGGCTCAGCAACAGAATACTTAGTTAGTCTGGGAGAGGTATGAGTTACTGATAAACATTTGCTTTAGAAAAAAAGCTGTGGTGACTCTGACCGAGCAAGTCTTGTCCTAAAGCTGTTTCTAGTCCCCAGCATGCTTTCTGGATTAGCATTTCTCAGAGTGCATCCCATGGAATAGTAGTATAGACCTTGACAGTTTTTACAGAAGAGTTCTGTGAACGAGCAATGTTGTCAACCATTGCACAAGTCAATATGCTTTCCCAGCTGCCAGAATATTTGGAGTCCTTACTATGTTAACAGTAATGTAAACCTGGAAGGGGCTACAGCTCACAGGGTTTTTAAGCTTTTCTTTATCCTCTAGTCCCAATGATAGTGGTCAGGGACTCGTTTGAGAAACACAGGAGAAAAACCTGCTGTAAGTTAACTCCCATTTGCTAAGAACAATGGATGCTTTTCGGCCACAAATGATGAAAGTTAACAAGAAATGAATTGCCTTCAGGGCTCTGGAGTACTGTGCAGCAGTCTCGTGTAGCACCGCTGTCTTCTTTGCACAGCTCAGCTTCTTTGTCCATCACTATAGTCACCTTTGCGTCCGTCTCAGACCACACTGGCCTCTCTGCCTCCACGCGAAAATGACCTTGCTTTTGTCTCACCTCATCTACCATCTCTGTAATCAAACTCTGCCTATTTTCTTGTCACAGTGCTTGATCCCTCTATGTGTACACTACGTCCCACCCACTCCCTTTATATCTAATCGAGGCCATTGATCTAATAATCACTTTGTTGCCAGTTATATCAACAAGTTTTCTTTGATTGAATCAAAATCTTAACTGATAGAGAGAAACAAGATTTAAAAGCTGTTCTCGAAGAAGCTCCATTTCTCTTTCCAAAGCAAAAAATGCTGGCAGAACCTTTCTCAGATCGTTACTCCTAAGTTTTCTCTTCTTTTCTTCAATCAGATGTATGGCATCATCATTTTACACTGAGGATTCAGTCCCAGGCTAACAATAACTCCTTAGTGTTAAGCCCAGTGGTCATTTTACTAGTTTTATTTTATTTGATCCAGCCATAACACTTAATATCATTGCTTACTCCTTCCTTGAAACACAGACTTCCCCCTCCCAACTTGATTTCTGGAACACCACGTGTTTTAGGCTCTCCTCCTACCACAGTAACTAGTCTGATTTAGTATACTGCACAGGTTAAATAAAAAAACCAGTATCTAGGAAGACAGATGTGCTTTACTTGATTCAAACAGCATACAGTGCATTTTGTTTGCATGCACATTGGAGAGGATATGGGAGGACTTGGATGGAAAAAATGATGGGTAGATAGGATCATATTTCATTATATACATGTATGAAATACTCAAAATATAGTTTGTTTGTTTTTTTTTAAAAAAAACAGGGTTTCTCTATGTATCCCTGGCTGTCCTGGAATTAGCTCTGTAGACCAGGCTGCCCTTGAATTCACAGAGATCTGCCTGTTCCTACCTCCTGAATGCTGGGATTAAAGGTGTGCCCCACCACCACTCAATGCAATTTAAATGTTTTCTCCAAGAGGACGTATTTTCCTTTCTATCCACATCATCAAGTCATTTTTATTCGTCCTTCTAGTTGTTCAGGCCAAATCCTTGGAATAGTTCTTAATTTCTCTAACAACCAACACTTAGTTTGTGCTGCATCTTAAAAAAAGAATTTTTCAATTTTGACATTTTGTTACTGCATTCACCACTGACATCTTAGTGCAAGCCAGTCTTGGGTCATCAGAAATCCATTGTGAATCGGGTCATATTTTGCTTCTGTTCAAGCCTCTCTATGGCTATTTTTGTTTACAGTAAAAGTCAAAGTCCTTAGAATGATCACCAGATGGTACATGATGTACCTTCTTTTCCAGTTGTCTCCTTGACATTATTGCCTACTACTTTCCCCTTGATTAATCTAACCTATTGGGTGTTCTCTCTCATGCTAGCTCGCTTGCTCGCTCGCTCGCTTTTGCTCTCACTCTTGCTTTCTCTCTCCCCTGCCCCACTCTCCCAGAGGGCCATCATTGTTTCCTGTAACTGGTATGTCGTTGTATCTTTAGAGCCAGCCATATGTTTACTGAGCACTCTCAGCTCTCTGTGCAAATGATACCTATCAATGAGAGCTCCTCTACCACCGTATCTTTAGGTCACCACCCTCTACATCTTCCCGACACGTTAATCATTTTTAGTTTTTCTGAGACAGTTATTACCTGGTATATTAATTTTTACTTATATTCCTACTGTCTTATCTCCACCACCATGCTTCAGGAAAGGCAGGAGTTTTATGCTGTCACTACTCTATCTGCAGCTCCTAGCACAATACTTATCACACAGTAGGGGCCAGGTAAAAAATCTGTTCCATTGACGAATGATTGCAAGTGCAGTGGGGGTTCTAATATTCCTGGCAACTTTTGGGGGACGCAGGTGTTCCTTGTCATACACTGAGAGCTTAATATGGAAAGTAAGCCAGAAATGAGAATGTCACAGAACTCTAGCACAGCAAATATGAAGCTGCACATAAAGCTACTTCTCCAATTCACTGTCAAAACTTTTTTGGAAGAGTTCTCAGAGATAACCTGCAGAGAAAAAGATCACATGCAAAACTGATAAAGTTTCTAATGAACTACAGGTGATACAGGAAAAGATGCTAAGATATTGTATCTTTAAAGACATGAACTGGAACACAGTACCTAAAACAAGAACAGAACACATGTTTTTATGTGAATGTTTACGATAGAAATATTATAAAAAATGAGGAATATATGCAATATGCATTACGTACAGGAAGACCTTAGCACTGATGCAATTGAAGCGTTTTGTAAATTTTAAATAAATGTTGGTTGTCAGATTAGACTACAAATATACCCCAAGTTAAGATAGAATCAGTAAAATGCTAAATAGTTCTGATATCATGACAAAAAGTAGCACAGTGTTGTTAAACACTGAATGCTATGGAAACATGGACATCATACATAAACTCCATGAAATTTAAAGGCTGAAACAAGAAGAGGTAATGTTCCCAGAGAACTGGCTAGCAGTTTTCCAGAATGGTTTAGAGCATCAGGTCCTAATTAGTATAAATGAAGACAAATCAATATCCTATGCATGTATCATGGGTAACTGCAGAGAAAGAAAAATCCCGAAGTCTGCTAGACACAAACAATAATGCAAAGTATCTTTGTAGGACAGATTATTTAAAAAGGGTAACAAACATCAACGCAATGAATGTGTTTACAATGTAAGTCAAGGAGTTTAATAGTATTTCTCTCAGTCTGAGTACACATTTGTTCTTGTACAGTGTGGGATGATAACCCCCTCCCGTTAGCCATTTATTTATGTTTGCAACTGCATTGCCACTATTGATTCATGTTGAGCATGAGGCCAATTAAAATCCCCAGGTCTTTTTCAAGTGAAAGGCTGTCAAATGAGGTCCTCTTCAGTACGGACCTAGGCAATTAAAGTTTAAAATACAAATGCAGGACTCTCCAGATATTGGTGTGATCCTTGAAAGCCGAAGTCATTTAAAAAACTTCCCGAAAGGAACTAGGACTTAGGCTGCATAAGAGTGACTTTAAGATGGGTGTACAAAGGAGAGCTTCTACATTTGTGGGGTGGAGGTTGGAGGTGTGACAAGGTAGACGAATCAGGCACCGGACAGGAGAGGAGCGCGCAGTAGATATGAGGTGGGTAGAGATATGGGAAGGGTAAAAAGATATCAGCTCACGAGCAGGGTGAGAGCTCAAGGAGAGAGCAATGCAGGTTTCTGGTCTCCCTGCTTCTGGGGTACTAGACAGGTCTTACAGCTAAGTAGTGTGACTCAGCTAATAGCTCAGGGACACTGGAGAGATTGTAGGGGTCACCTGCCAACAGATACTATGTATTATAAAACTTGAGTTGGAAACAAAAAGTGGTCTTCTAGCAGTGTAGTTCAACAGCAAATTCAAGATTATCTACCATTTCTCTCTCTCTCTCTCTCTCTCTCTCTCTCTCTCTTTCAAAAATGGAAAGTATAAGAAAAGAAACTGTTCAGTACAGGACAACTAAAGACAGAACTGGAGTGTGTGATGGGGAATCTCTGTCAGCCAATAATCTTTAAGAGGTGAGACCAGGTTAGGGCATGACATTTTGGGTACCCGGAGAAAAATGCTGGGTCGCCCAGGGTTCTCTCTCTCTCTCTCTCTCTCTCTCTCTCTCTCTCTCTCTGGTGCCCGTGCTACACAACTGAGGTTGCACTTCTCGTTCCTGTTTTGTGAGTTTGGTCCTTATAATAAAGAAAATATAATTTGTTTATCTTAGAGTTGGCTTGAGTTCCTTTGATCTACATCTTTCAACAAGAGTGGAATATACACCATAGCAAGCATCAGCTAACCTCAGTTCTATTCCTAACTCTACATCCTACAAGCCATTAACTTTGTACAGCTTCCTTATCTGTGACCATACTTGAAAATGAGCCCTAGATGGTTGGTACCAGGGCCTTTTTTTTTCTTTTAAATCACTGTATCCTTAGTTCCAATTATAAGGTCTTACATACAGTTGGGGCTCAGCAAATAATCATTAAAGACATAAGTGAATGAATTAACTGATGCCAGTTCTGCCTCATGCATAAAGTTACTGTGACCTTCAAATGAAATTAGACAAGAGAAGAAATTACAAGAAATGTAAACACTGAGCAACCCTTCAGCAAAGAACTACCTGTACTACTGAGAATTTTTTTTTCAAATAAATTATGAGGACATTTGCAATCTTTTAAGGGTGAAATGGTAAGTGGAACAATGCTTTCAAATCTTTTGAGCTTGGAAAATAACAAGAATGCTGAAATTCTGAGACACTTCAAGTGAGCTAAGAAACATATTGGGAACTGTTCTTTCATTGTTACCCACGGATCTAATGCTAGGGCTCACAATCATGTTAATTCTAGAGTTACCACACATTGACCACACAAAGTGTTAAGGTAGCTTTATCTGTTGTTTGGGGAAAAAATGTCTTAGCTGGGCATGGTGGTGCACGCCTTTAATTGCAGCACTTGGGAGGCAGAGGTAGGTGGATCTCTGAAGTTTGAGGCCAGCCTAGTCAACAGAACAAGTTCCAGGACAGCAAGGCTACACAGAGAAACCGTGTCTCAAGGGGGGAAAAGTCTTGCAAAGAATGGAACAGTATTCACATTTGGATGCTAGAAAATAAAGATTCAAACACGTTAAATGACTTGCTTAAAACCAAGAGGAAGAGATTGCAAAGATAGACTTATCTTAGGCTAGCTTGTCTGATCAGTGGAAAGAAAATGTAGATAAACAGGCTTCTACACACATAAAGATGCCCTAGTTAAGAGACAGCATAACCCAAAGGTGGAATGATTTGGCTTAACGAGTTTCTTATCACCTAGGCAGGGTTACTATGTAATTTACAGAGCTCAGTGCAAAATGGAATGCCCTCATGGACATGAAATCAGGTCCGGCTAGATGTTTTTGAGAAGTTCCTAAGCTTCAGGGATGCTAGAAAGGAATCAGTATGAGCTGACACACAGATGTAGGCAGCTTTCAACTGAAATTTGGTAGTTCTTCTACACCAATTAAACCAAATGGGTCAAGAGCACTTCCTAAGAAGGTTGGCATGACACCACAGAGATAATTGGATGAGAGGAAA